AACCGGGGCCCTCTGGCGTCCCAAGCCAGTTCTTAACCATCGCGCCACTCGGCCGGCCCTAGGTTTTGTGAACTTTTGAGAGATTTTACGAAAGTCCTTAACATGAGTCATTACAGGCCATTTGTGTGAAAAAGCCACTGAAAGTGACTTAGGTGTGCCTGAAAGTTGGGTGGGGTGGGTCTTAGGAAATTACCAGGTTGGGGCCATTGGTGTTAGCTAGGTTGATGGAGACTCAGATATGGCGCCCTCCTATGTCTGTGCACTGGGAGCAGGGATGGCTCAACAAAGAAGCAATGGATTCTGCTAGCACTTCTGTCTGGGAGAAAGCTGCCCCTCCAGCCCTTGCTCTGAAGCTGAACAATTCAGTTCCTCTGTGCATGTTCCTGGTGCCTTTCAAGCTGTTGCCCCAGAGCTGGAGCTCAGAGTGGTGAATCTGTCAGTGAGTAAGTCCATTTAAGAGAAACACCTGGGACTCCAGCAGCCCTATGTCTCACTTAGCCACAATCTCTGCATTTTTTTTAAAAAAAATTATTGGGGTGACAATGGTTAGTAAAATTACGTATGTTTCAAGTGTACATTTCTATAATACATCATCTATATATCACATTGTGTGCTCACCACCCAGAGTCAGTTCTTATTCCATGACCGTATATTTGACCCTCTTTACCCTGTTCTACCATTCCCCGCTCCCTTACCCTCTGGTAACCATTAAACTGTTGTTGGTGTCTATCAGTTTTTGTTTCTTTCTTTGTTGTCTTGTTCTTTCATTGCTTTCAGTTTTATATTCCACATGTAAGTGAAGTCATATGGTTCTTAACTTTTTTTGTCTGACATATCACTTAGCATAATAATTTCAAGATTCTCCATGTTGTCACCAGATATATGAAAAATGCTCAATTTCACTAGCTATTAGGGAAATGCAAATCAAAACCACAATGAGATATCACTGCACACCTGTTAGAATGGCTATCATCAACAAGACAAATAATAACAAGTGTTAGAGAAGCTGTGGA